TAGGTACTCTTGGTCGGCCAACCCGATTTCGTTGCCCAACATAAAGCTGGATTAATCAACCGAAAACCGAAATCTTAGGCTGCACGGGATAGTAGCCATAAAATCACTTAGATTTTAACAGAAAAAAACTTTAGGTTACCTTGAAATATTCTGCCGGCCATGAGAAATATTTGCCCGCAGACACCCCCCCCCCCCCNNAATGAATTATTTCTGCCACGCCACAGTAACCAACGAAGAGACCCTTTCTTTCCCTGAATACTCGGTTTGCTTTCTCTAAGCACTGTCGCAGTGCTACCATTTCCCGGAATCAATTCCGAAAATTGGAACTTTTCCCGGAATTTTCAGCTATTTTCGGAGTTTCTTCGAAAATAGCGGGTTTTCGCCAGTTTGACTATTCATTTGATCGAATTCAGGAACTTTTTGATCAAATTTGACGATCTTCGGAACTACATCCGGGCGTATTTCGGAATTTTTCCCACAACTTTGGCAAATCGGAATATGTATCCGGGAATCGGAAATATTTCGAAATCTTTCGATGTAATAAAATGGCAGCACTGCACTGTCTGATTTCTCCTCCGTGAAAATGCGGTGGTTTGGCACGGTTGCTTCCGTGCAGCGGGTGGAATCAACTTTGAACTTTTCGATCAAATTTGACGATCTTCGGAACTATATCCGGACATAGTTCGGAATTTTTCTCGGAACTTTGGCAAATCGGAATATGTATCCGGAAATCAGAATTATTCCGGAATCTTTTGATAAAATAAAATGGCAGCACTGCACTGTCCGATTTCTCCTCCATGAAAAAGCGTTGGTTTGGCACGGTTGCTTCCGTGCAGCGGGTGGAATATGACGCAATACGAGGGAAGTGGTTTAATCAGCATTATTCCGGAACCGCGGCGGTGGCGGCGGCGGGGGCGGGGAAAGCGGTGAATTATCATGACGACAGAGCGGAATAAAACCGGTGGAAAACAGAATAAAACGCGGCGGTCGTTTTGATGAAGTCGCGCCTCGTCGGGTCTCGTCGGCTGTCGCCGTCGCGTTTTAAGACCTCTCATTGCGCCCCGCGCCGCGACGCACGGTGGACCGAGTCAATCAGGGAGGTCGGACTCGAAATTTTTGACTAAAACCGCAAACTTTGATGTTTTTTCCACCACATTTTAAATCTCAACGGGCGGCCCCAGAAGCAAATTTCACGAGGAAACCATAGGAGCCACTTTTAGAACCTCAACATTTTGTGTTATGAGCTTTTAAAGTTTTCAAATTTTGCCCGACCGCTCCTATTGACTCGATCCCCTGTGCGACGCAGTGCCGAGACTATTCAATTTACTCGCATTAGGCGTCGTTATCTTTATCCAAGAGCCGAGAAATCAAAGGCTATCATGCTCCCCTGCCACGTCGCTCCCAGGAAAAATCTCCGGGAAAGCGCCTTTGGGGACCGAGTCGTTCATGAAGTACCCAACCCTCCGGAAGGGAGGGGGGTGTGATGCTGCATTAGGGTGCGTTACAAGGATCACTTAACGCTAGTTTCACGTATTTTTAAAGTGAAAAATTCACGCAAGGTTGAAAGTTAAAGGATACTTCAGCAAATTTAAACATATTTTTTTACCATCGTTTGGGGCGCCGTCTACCTAAAATGTCAGTCTTAGGACCTCTATAAATCCGTATTTTAGATTCCAAAGANCCTGGGGGTGGGAACGGGAAAACCCGCGGGGGGAACGGAGACCCGGCCGCGAGGGGTCCGCCGAACGAACATCAAGGGCGCGGGACGCGCTGGGACGGCGTGGCGGGGACCGATGTTCAGAGGGTCGCGGGGTAAATCGTATAACTTTATATAAGAGATTTATTTAGCACATCTTTGTATAAAAAAAATGTAGTACTATAAATGTACAATAAAAATACTTATTACTTATGATCGATCAACTAAATACAAACTACAACCCGGCTAAGCCGGCTCTGAAAGGCAATCCAGGGATGGAGACCAAATTTTTTCAATGTGTTCGAAGGATTCCAATCGTTCAGAAATTTTCGCGTATTTTCTATTCCCAAAGTGTTCGCAGAACATACTTAAATGCTCTTATATTAATTACTCACATTTGAGCTATCATGAATACAGGCTCTTTTTCCTGTAGATAGTAGTATATGAAGAAATGATCCGAGGTCAAATGAAACGCCTCAAGTCAAATTTTGGAAGTAAATGAGATGGGAGTTTTAAATTCAAAAGTCGAGAGAGAGATTATTTTGAACTTGAAAATTTCGGTAAAGTTTGTCCTTAACGTTGGGTCTTATGACAGTATTAAACTTCAAACCTATTTTTCTTAGCTTAAAAATGACAAGACTCGGTGCATCTCTGTTGAAGTCATTGTCAGTCAATTTGGAATCGGATTTTCTACAAACGCAAATAAAAGGAGCTGATGATGAAACATTACAGCCCGAGAATTCATTCCATCCAATTCCAAGACTCGTTCGTAAGACTTGTATTCAATTTTTTCTTTTTATTCTGTTGCAGGTGAGTTGTTGGTCTACCATTACGAATCCGAATCAACAAGGAGGTCGTAAAAAATACCCGTAAGCGTATTCTGTCGCACTTGTTGATTGCCTGCACGAATTGCATGTTGTAGTGGATAAATTGCTACCAGCACGTTTTACACGATGTCATTCGCGAATTGAACCGAGGGTGTCGAGTCTAAACCAGAAATATAGGTGTACATTCTGTACATACACAAGATGATTTCAGTTTAAAAATTAGCCAAAAAGTATTAAGATCAATCCAAACATTGAGATGCTATGTCCAATGCCGACAAATATATCGATTCTTTTCAGTGCAAATTCGGGGAGGGTATAGATTCGATCAAAAAATAAAAACGAACTGATTGACGTGATGCGATCGACAACATTTGATCGCTTTCAAGGTTTGTTGATTGACTCACGGGGTTTAGTCGATCAGCTCACGTGTTTGTCGATCAATTCACGGGGTTTTTGATGGATCCATCGGTTTTTTGATCGAATCGCCACCCATCGGTTACGTTTTCATTTTTCGATCGATTCATGTCGATCGAATCGACACCGGTTTCTTTAATCATTTGTCGATCGAATCGGTGTCGATCAGTTCCCGTCGACGGATTCCCGTTTTTATTTTCCTATCGATTCATGTCGATTGAATCCATACCCTCCAAAATGTCATTCGTGTATCTGTTGCGTATAACAGACTGGTCCAACGTCATGAATACGCAATTTCCTATTAATGTAAATTTATCGCTGAATGTTCTTTATTTGAACGATGCCGGGAAGTGTCACATTTTCAGAGGCAGACGGCTTGATTTTGGAAACGTTATGTTATGGCGCTCAAAGCAACCTGCTGTAGACTTTCAACTCAATTCACAGTTTCAGAGTCCGCAGAATTTATTTCCGGGTCTGCATTCGCTCTCAACCCACCCTCCGCCCGAACTTCCTGTCCGGGTTTCCAAGTTGACTGATGCGTCATGCGGAGTTTCAATCGGACAAATATTTGACTTGGTCCTCGCCATACCGTATACTGCGCCGCCATTGGTCGCTCCCCCGACGCACAGAGGAGCGAGTCCATGGGATCGGTCGGACATGTGTGAAAACTTTAAAAGCTTTCACTCTTGTAAATACGATTCGTAGAATTTTAAAAATTGGTCTCATTAATTCCTTCTCAAAATCTCCTCCAGAAAGCACCTGTTGAAATGTTTAGTGTGACGAAATAAACATCAAATTCCATAGTTTTAGTTATGTGTGATGTATCCCAAAATTCCGCTCCACTGTGCGACGAAAGAGCGCAAGCTCATCTCGAGTTGAGCCTTTCAGGCATGGATTCATGTGGAATACGAAACTTTCATTTTTATTTATTTTATTTTACACATTTTGTACATACGGGCGATTGCCTATGTTACAGGTCGTGAATGGATTTGAACAGTAAGAAAAATAGATTAATTCGGTTAAAATAAACTAAGTGAGACAGCTTTGAATTACATTAATTTACAAAGCATAATATAGATCAGTGATCAATTAAATTTTCAGCGAAGTTCAGGTGGAGCTATGGGGGGGGGGGGCTTAGGAATGATGCAAAGTCTGCATCCCTGAACAATTGCTTCAAATTTAAGGGCAGTGCATTAAAATGAAACTGATGTGAATTTGATGTTGAAATCTGAGACTTTCAGAGATGTTTTTATATTTTGAATTATGTCCAGAGTTATAAGTATGCTTAGGAATCAAATCAGTTGGTGTAATTAAAGTAATGTAAATGGCTTATTTGATACTTTCAGAGGTATAAAGTGATGGTGATGGTAGTGATGGCTCGTCGTCTTTAAATACCTGTTTACAGGGAAAGTTTCAAGGTTTACTGAAGATAATAGGAATCTTTTTCGTTTTTTTAACAACAAACACTCCGCACCGCTACTCCTGCCCTAGAGTATAATGCTTTAACTAATATGGGACGTAAAATGAGCATGGTAAACAGCTCATGGTTTATGTTCAACAGTTTCTCAGAATTTTTTTGATTTTGAGGGGGAAAATTAGGGGAGGATGGGGTTTCTAGGGCTGCTATATTAAGTGTTACAAGGGGGAGGTGAGTCAAAAATGCCTAAAAAGTGCGTTGTGTAATTTATGAACGCTACCCTTGTGTTGAATTGAAATACTTTGCGCTATCTGTGAATCGAAGATATAGAACCGAAGCTTCATGTCTAAATTTTGGATTCCTCTACAGTATTTTTCACAGGTATCTCAGTTTAACCTCAGTTTAATAAGTAAGCGACAGTCCAAATGATGATTAATTCCCTTGAAGACTTTACCGTCATTTAAGTTGTTTACGATCATAAAATAAGTTCCATCAAAGGTAGCAAGTTAGGTGGAAATACAGGAAAATACGAGGAAATTTGCCACCTGTGAATGACATTGAGTGCAAGAAAAGGGATTCCGCGCATGACAACTTGCCCGAAATTAAATTTGCTCTCAGACCTTGCGTGTTAGTGCATCCTTCTCATACATCGGCAAAATTTGCACATTCGGTGCAGCACATTTGCATGCATGAGCGTAAAAAACTATTTACGTCGAGAGCACCCGTGTATTCAATTCTTGAGTCGTTGCTCAGGGCCGATCGAAAAATTGGTTTGCCAGCTGGTTGGATGGTTTTACACAGGTCCTCTTGATTTTACGCATTTTCAAATTTTTCTCGCAATTCCGATCAGAAGAATTCATTTGTGCCACGATGAATCTCGTTCACGTCCTTCTTTTCATGGTAAGTACTCTTACTGAGATATTTGTTTTCACTGATAATATCTGTGAGCGTATAAGTATTGTTTTCTACACCTTGAATTCTATGAAACCTTGCAAATTCACCTCCCATAATCACCAAATTTTCAAATTATTCTAATTAAAAAGGTAGCCAGTGCTTCTAATTATGTGTTTTTATAATGTATTTTCTGCTTAATTTCTGTTTTCATTTCCTTTTTCCTTTAATTATCGTTGCAATGATCTGCAATATTTTGAGTTCTCATTTAGAAAACGTGTTTTATATGACTTGAAATTGTTTTCAAAAATTTCTGCACCCCCGTATTTTTGGGGGAAATTTTATGACTCAAACTTGTCTGCGAATATTTTATACATGGGAGTTAGAATATAGCTTTTTATGATATGAGCTGCCTTAATTAATATGCTTACGACTTTTACAAGAAAAAATGAAAAATTCTCAACGTCGCAGATGTGATTGTTGCTTCACTTTTTTTTTAAAAAAAATTCTGGAATGAAATATATAATTTGTATATTACCTGCTGCATGCAAAGAAACAGTCCCTACCGGGCGTCAAGAATTGAGCGTAAGTAATTATTTTGTATGCGCGGTCTGGAAAACATTAACGACAAGTTCATAGTAATGACGTTACCTTTACATTTTTATTATTTACCCTTTAAATCTGGATAGAACTTATTTACCATCAAATTATTTAATTGGTTTCAAAAGTTTTTGATGATTGTGGTGGATGGCTTCGAAGAAGGACCAGTAGACACAACCGATGAAGGCCGCGGTTTGATCAGACTAAATCGGGAGCAGCCTACTACGGTGAGTTTAAAAAAAAAAAAAAATATGTGTCCAAGAAAAAACTTGTCATTTCCATCTTTGGTTCCATTTTCAAAGTATTTAAATATCTTTTAAATTAAAAGTATGCACATTTTTCTCGTCGTCTCGCCTCCTAAAAGACGATCTCTTGTCGCGTAAAGTTTTATCAGAATGAGAGTAGACGCGCAGTTGGACTTCATTTTAAAATTTGGAGCCTCTATTTTTGGTTCATCCCTGGAGGCACCCATGTGCATTAAGGAAACTCATTGTAAAACTCTAACTTAAGCCTGCGCATTGTTTCTAAGATGAGTCAAAAATAATAGCTAATGGCGAAATGTAGTCCAGCTTTCATTTGTGAGTTGTTGAAATGAAAAAAAGACAGTCACACAATATAAAACATCTGTGTTGTGCCTCCAAAGGCCCTGTGCTGCGGTATAGTACAGCTGTACTGATATCATGTAGTTACTATATCAGTAATATTTGTTTAACAATCGTGATTTTGGTAAAAGTAATACAACCAGACAACATGGTGATGGTTGGTTGGTTGCGATGCTCTATCAACATCAATTGTTTTATCACGTACCATCGTGAGTAATACGTCAGCAAGATGTAGTATACTAATTTCGGAGCCGCATAGCAGATTTATACTGGTTACTGATTTTAATGGTATACTATACTAAAACAGAGTGACGTGTAGTATATCAATGTCTACACGTAAAAGAAATAGTCGGTGCTGATGACGAAACCTTCTGTTCATAGGGCTCCTACACTTTCTTTGTTATACTTACAGAACTTTTGTGTCGTGAGAACAGAACTTAGGTCGTGAGCACAGAGTACTCCGTCCTCATAACGGAAACTTTTATAGCTGTATCAAAGAAAGTGCAGGAGCCTTATAATCAGAACTATTTGTTTCGGTGTAAACTTGAACACCACTATCAATTTGCGACTTTGTAGACTTCCATTCATGCACTATTCTCAGTTCTCGCGCGGAACCCCGTATAGGTCTTCTCTTCTGTTCGACGAATTATCCATAAATGGACATGAGTTTAACAGAAAGGAACCAACCTACATAAAATTGAAACTGAGAAAAAGAGGTTTGAAGTTTCATTCTTCTAAAAGACTCAATGCAGAAAATAAACTTTAAATCTTCTTTTCTTAGACTAATTTTTTGTCGACTCAGAGTTTTTGGCAGGAGAAAATATACAGTTAGTGGAATTCAAAAACATTCTGAACTCAATTTTTTCGAAAATGTGGGTCGGTTCCTTTCTGACAAACTCGGTCCAAATACATTAGGAAAATAGGTTTTTTAATTTGAGAAAAAAATTGAACAAAAGTGGAGAGTTTTAAACACCGTAGCCAAGTTTCTAAGTTTGGCGAAAGATTTGTCATTTCTTCCTGTTAATACATCTGTTCTTAAAATGAACATTTCGTACTCCAGTAATTAAAAATATTATGCGTACACTTCTTATTTGATTTCCCCCCATAGTTGACTTTTTAATGGTATCGTAATTTTGAAGCAGCATTTTTATTTCCGTAATGCCCGTTGCAAAAGCATCGAAAGTATAAAGGCAAAATAAGCCTCACGAAATAAAAAGTTACCGAGTTCCCTCTCATTCTTGATTTTTCGACAGATTATTAAGTATCTGAATTAAAATTATATGACTATGAGAATATGATTTCACAACGCATGAGAATTCCACAAAAAATTCCATCGAGTTAAGTTGCTCAGTTCCTCGTTAAAAAGGTGAGCATGACAAGAAATTAGGCAACACGTGAAATGCGAAGTTATGATGATTCTATAGTTGAATCCGACCAAATTAAAATTTCACTCCCACTCGATCACTGTTTTTTCATATTCTTTTTTCTATTTTTTATCGGGAACAGCCAGGCGAAACGGTGGCAGAACAGAGTCTGGTAACCAGAAGCGAGCATGGAAATCATGTACATGGCGAAAAACCTGCAAAAAAAGGTGCTGCGCACTACGCATCGAAGATCTACCATGCTGTAGCCGGACATAAAAAAGGGAAGACGGATAAGGATAAATCTTCAAAGAAATGGAATGCCAGTAAAATCCTCTCGGGGGCGTTGTCATATGTTAAGAACCGTAAGGGACACAAGGATCATAATAAGGAACATCATAAGGACCACAAAGGGCATTCGCAAGGGAATCATGTAGAACCTCAAGGAGAGCAGGGGTCATCGCCACCACCTGAATCATAATTCCTTATGTCGTACCTCCTTGAGGTAATAATTAGAAGCCACAAATGCTCTGCATTAAACATTATTTACAATGATACTTGATTCGATTGATTTTTCTTCTCTGTTATTTCCTTCCCTTTCTCCTTCGTTTAAAACGCATCGTAATTGCTTGCAAACATAGTTACGGACCATTAAAATATTACCTGCTAAGCTACTCTCAGGGGATATACGAGGTCTGAGCTAGCCTTATGGGGTTTTACAAGACGGAAAAGGTCTCTCACGGTATGCTCGAAAGATTCAAATTCAAAAGTTTATTGCTGTACACTAGCCATGATAAGTTAGGTTCGATACAGGTCACAATGGGTACAATGAAAATTAGCAAATCAGTTTGTTAACAGGCTGGTTGGGTTATCACAAATTTTCTTAAGTTTTATCAAATTATCCTAAGTACTAACAATTATCTCAGATTTTAACAAATTATCTCGGGTTTTGACAAATTAACAAAAGATCTCCAAGCTGTGCGATCTTGGCGCAGATAATGTGGGGAGAGAGGTTGCCCGTACCAGTTTTGGATTGGGCACCCTCTAAAAGGAGGCGACGGAAATTCTTATGAAGGGATGACCGTAGGGCGACGACGAAGAGATTTTTTGATGTCAGTTGCTGTCAGTCGTTTGCGTTTGGGTGTCGCAGAGCGCCCAAGTGCGAGTGACATATATGTATGGATTATTTTATTTTTAAGTGACAGCCTTTCATTAGAGTGAGCTTGACCTTCCTCTCCTCGTAAGAGAGGCTTAGAACCCCCCCCCCCCCCTAGTAGCTTACGGGATACTTGAGCGGCCCCATCGCCTAATTTAAAGAATGAAAAGCTGGAAGTTCGATGGATGTGCCTTTCCTTTAATCGCATGCACGGAGCTCCAGATCCCAGTCAAACTTTGCCGCGGGTGGGGGGGGGGGAGTTCCGCCACCGCGGGAGCGCCGGCGGGGCGCATTTTTAACGGGAAGCGCCGTAATTATACGACGCCGTTAATAACTCCACGCGACGCGCCGCGCCGCGACGCCGAGCCAAAGTCATAACGCCGCAAACTTTGGCATCTTGTTTTCGCCAGATATTGCAATTACAATATTACACTTCCGCGTGTGCGCACACCTTGTTGCCGGACGGTAATTCGTTATCGCGAAAGGGTTACGATAGAGGATGTGAACTAGAAAAATAGTCGCACCTACTTTCTCCTCAAAATCTCACGTAGAAAACGTTGCAAAAGGGGAAAATACTTGAATCAACCCCTCGAACGAGATGTAACTCGTGCTTCTAACACAGATTAAGTGCAAGTTAGATTCTAAAAATGACGTCTATTGTGTTTTTTCTATTTGACCAATGTAAATTTTAAATCCCTTGTTATGTATTTTTTAAGAGTTAATTTTCAGTTCCTTGCCTTAGCTGTGTGACTTGATTTTATCGTCAAATTTTGGAGTGAAAATATGATGCGTAGTGCTTTAATTCGTATCTTATCCAGAGGGCTATCCGGCTATTCGGCTATCCGCATGCCTCAAAAACAACGGTCCAGCAAATACTACCTGTGAATACAACAGGATTTGAGAATATATCTGTTAGCGGACAAACCCGATTTTAGGACAAACTAGAATTTCCTAGGACAAACTCGTTTGCCGGAAGAAATCTCGTTCGGCCTAAGCACCTAGGATAAAGTGGTTTGGCCTAGGCCGGAACTAGTTTGTCCTGAGCAATTTAGTATAAACTAGTTTGTCCTAGGCCAGAGTAGTTTGTCCTAGGTGCTTTAGGAAAAACCTCGAGTTATAATTTTATTTTTTTCAATATGGTTAGACGGGGTAAAGTAAGGAAATGATAGGAAGATTATTTTAAATTCTTCAATGTAAATTTATTGCTTTAATTTTTAGTTTACCCTATTGTTTTGTACATTTTAATGAGTTACTTGAAATATTCTTGATATTTGATTTTTAAGTTTGATCATCAGCAGCTATTCTTCGTCAATAGTAGCAGCATCTACCCCAATAATTGTTCCAACTCTTCTTCGTCCTGAATAGTGGCTATAGCTTCTGCGGGAATAGATGAAGTGGTCAAACCGACCCGAGGTTCCATTCCAAACATTGCCTAGTACGGAGACATGCCGATGCCCCTGTGGTGGGCTCTGTTCTTCATGAATTGAACGGAGCGTAAACTTTTAGGCCGAACCCGTTCGGCCTAAGCCGGAACTAGTTTTGCCTACGTGTATTAGGAAAAACTAGTTCGGCCTAGGCCCAAACTAGTTTCGCCTACGTGCGTAGGATAAAGTAGTTTGGCCTAGGAAATTCTAGTAGGGCCCGCGGTAACTAGGCCAAACTAGTTCGTCCTAGGAAATTCTAGTTTGTCCTGAAATCGGGTTTGTCCGCTAACATATCTATCCCCAGAACATTGGCATTATTTTGTGCTTAATACTATCGAGACAGTAATTTAATAACTTTTTGAAATGGTTTTCAGTAAAATTCCTAAACTTATCAAGGGAAATATTTTCGAAATATTTTTAGTAACAGTCTCCGAAAATGAACAAAATCAAGTATACTGGAAGGAGGTACTGAACGAAAAACATGTATATCTTCAGGTAACGTAAAGGAGTCTTAAAGTTCTCCAACTTGCAGAAAAGAAGCATCGTTATTCTTACAATACTTATAGTAGTATATGTAGTTATAGTGCTCCTTACGTGGTAAGAATTATTCGTAACCCAGTGACAAATGTCAAGGGGGTGGGAATCATTGCTTGCACAAAAGTAGCAATGAAATTAAGACTAGACAAGTATATAGGACCTGTAATCCACCAAGAGCATCGTGAGAGCAACGGTTTTTTTTTCTGTGAGTAGGAACATATAAGTTTTCTTAAGGGAAAAATATGCTGGAAAATCATGAACTGCAAATACCAATGCGAAATACAAAATTATAAAACAACATTTTAAAAGTTTGAAGTGATTATTTAAAATTATTTTACTTTTATTTCTTTAGACGCCAAAGTGCCTTTGCCTGTCAAAACCTTGAAATTCGATTTTTTGAAACAACTGCATTGAAAATCATCTCTCTGAAATTATGCCTCAGTGGGTCGTCACATTGACAGTTTCAAATACAGTCTCTACTGAATGAATTGGATCGCATTTACTTAACAAAAAGGAACCAGCGAGCATTACAGTATTTTCAAAATCGTGCAACTTCTCCTTTTCTTTTATAAATATTAAATATGTGTACAGTACCACAGTATAGTAATGTACACAAGTATCTTCCCATAACGTAACAATATTTTGGGGGAAGCTAGAACTATTTGGTATTCTGGGAGATTTTTTAAGATAATTGTAAGAAGCAACATTTTTACAACACTGTAACCTCCCTGGTTCCTTTTTGCTAAATACGATCCAATTGAACAATAGGACAATATTTAAGACCTGGTAGAAAGTATGGCATATGACCTGAGTTTCTCGAATATATTGCCGCATGTGGCAATGCGGTTGAAGGTAGTAACTTTTCGTGCAGCGCTTTATTGCTCCTCGCGTGGTTTTTTCTCGTCTTTGGCGAAGATTTCGCGCCAACCCTCCCTCACCCGTATATGAGGGTTGGAGGATTTGGGTTATTTCTAATTTTATGTGTTTTATGAGTTCGGTGGAGAATTTCATTGTTCCTAATGTAAATTCGGCGGATCCACATCCTGTAGCAATCATTTTGCCTATCTTGTGTGCATCTCCGCTCGTTCTACCATGTTTGGAGTCAATTTGTTTCAGTCGATTCGGTTGGCTACAAAAAGTTGAAGGAGGCCAGTAAAATACACTGAGAATACGCATTCAAATACGTGTGATGATACTCCATAGTATTTTTACCTTGTCTGATAATGTTATACGGTATTTTTCATTTTTGCGATCAAAGTTGTTAACTTTACGAAAAACGAAGTGATAATATCGTGCGCGTTACTAAGTTTTTCAATACCTATAATTTATCGAATTTTTAATTCAAGATAAGACTCCTATTTTTCTAGATTATAAAGTATGCATGATAAAGTTGCAACAGACCCATTCTTTCATCAGTGTAATCATTATCAGCCACTTTAAAATTCACTCGTCTTAGGAGCAGCTGATCGCACCGAAAAATCGATCTAAGTATACAATTTGAAAAATGAAAGGCATGATAGAATTGCTATAGGCACTTGTGCAGCAAAATCTCTCATTCTTCGTGGAAGCGATCAATAGATCGCTGGGGGCACCGTGCTGAGTCGATGGAACAACTTAAGGCTGTGCTAGGATGAGGTTGTGCTTTGTCTCTGTGTACCACTTGCGTTAATTAAACCTCAAGTTTTTTTTGTGAAGTTCAGAAAATTTAGTCAAATTTAAAAAAAAAAAATATGGCCAAGAGTACATTTCCTATGTAACAGTTTTTGGACCTTCACGAATACATGCCGCCTGCAAGAAAGCTTTCAAGTAAACTCGTTTACTGCTTTATCTCCCAAGTGAGACTTCTTCGGTTTAAAGTTGGGTGCCACTTCAGGGACCCCCCTCCCTCACGCTTACTTGTCGTGTCGTCCGCGGCCCTCTCGAGGAGCTCCTGAATGGAGCGCCGGAAGGCATTCGGATCATATCGCGTGAGCAGCGAAAACCCGTGAAACCACCGTTGCCGGCTGACAGAACTACATTCCGCAAGAAGGAACTACTATTTCTGGCTCATCCACCCAAGCACCTATCTGCGTAAGGAAATTAACGGAAAATTGGTTTTTTTTAAAATGAGACGGAGATGATAGTTTCTGGTTGCAAAATGTAGTCCATTACGTCTAGAGTCCCTCCTATATACTGAGAACAAAGACAATACGAATCCATTTTTAATTGGTTCCCGTAATTTTGGCCTCCACGGTGTCACAGACGGGAATAAAGCTTACATCTTCACCATTTGCTAAGATTATAAACTTGAATAGACCGGGGAATAAGGGACACGGCAAGGAACAAATGGATGAGAGAGGGAACGGAGACAGGAATTCGGAAACGAGTTGATCAAAGATTACGGAAACCGTTCAATTAATGTAATCTTTATTCTCGTTCGTGACATACATGAGACGCGTTG